TCTGCTGGCGCCTTGGAGATGCCCCTCGAGTTCTTTTTGACTTCTATCGGGACCTTGTTTCTGGTCAGGTCTCTGCTCTACCTCGGGACATGTTGGAAGTTCTGATGGCTTTTTTTCTGCCGAAGGGGGACTCGAGAGACGATGTGGGGCCTAATGTTTTTAGGGCCGCGGAAAACACACGTCCACTTTCCATGGCCAACACTGATGCCAAGCTACTGAGTTCGTGCATGTGCAGACCGCTGAATGAAGTTGCTCAGCAGACTATTTCTCTTTCGCAAGCTTGTGTTTATGGTCGCAGCATGGGCTGCGCATATTGTCCGTGCTGAAGCTTGGGCACTGTCTGAACATGTGCTCGACCAAGATGATAGCTCGATGGTCCTGACGGACTACTCTGCCGCCTTCCCCTCTCTCTCGATTGAATGGTTCTTGGCTGTTTTGGAGGCGATGGGGATCCCGAGCTTTATCGTCCAGTTTTATCGTTTGTTCTACACTGACAACACTGCTCTGATCTCGGTTCTGGGCAAAGTGTACGCGTCGATTGATATATCTAGAGGTGCGCGGCAAGGGGATCCCGCATCTATGGCTCTCTTCTGCCTGGGCACGGCTCCGCTTCAGGTATATATAAGTAAATGCTGCTGGCAGTGCATGCACCTCAAGCTTGAATATGCTGATGATTGTTTGTATGGCATCCGCGACACCCTTCGACACCTGCGGCACCTCTTCCGTGTTATCATGGCTTTGGAGTCGGCAGCGGGGCTGGCGTTGAACCTGCGCAAGTGCCTGGTGCTGGTCCAATCGGCTGTGTTCCAGACTAGGCTGCAGCAGTATATCCTAGAGCAGTGCCCTGAGCTCTCTCAGATTCAGGTTGTGCGCTCGTGTAAGCACCTCGGCATGGTGATTGGTGTATCTGCCCACGAATGCTACTGGTCGAAACCGGTGGCGAAGTTTGCCCCGCGGGTGAGAGAGGTGCGTCAGGCTGGTCTAACTCTTGCGAAGAACATCCCGACTTTCAACAGTTTATGTCTTAGCATACTTTCCTTTGTCATGCAGTTCGCACCACTCTCTAGGTCGGTGATTGCAGCGTATAAGAATGCCTTGCAGCTCTTAGTGGTGGGGCCGCGTTTTAGTTTCAACTACGAGACGCTGACGAATCTGACCTCCCTGGGGTTCTGGTCAGTTTAAAAACCTGGAGGCGGTGTCTCGGGCTACGAAGTTCCGACTGGTCTCGAAGTGCTCGGAGATTCTTTGGGATTCTTGAGGATCTGGAAAAGACTTTTGCGTCCGATGATGCATGTATTGTCAGAACTATGTCTGGTTGGGCCAGTGTTAGCTTCGCCCCTGCCCTGCTTGCGACTTTCAGAAGTGTTCGTGGTACCTTGTCCTGCTCGCCTTCGGGGATACCTGACGAGGGCAAGAGCTTCCAGGCAGCCGTCTACCGCATGATTGCTGCATCGCCTGAATTTGCACATGATGCGACGCAGGACTTGATGATCAGGATGAGGAGGTGGTTGAATGAGGTTCCCGAGGATGCCGCGATTCAAGTTTCGAAAGCTGTGAAGTTTGTTGTCAAGAAGACTGGGCCCTACATGGGCCCGACGTTTCTCCGTGCGCTTGCCCGAGGTTTGAACGCGTCGGCCAGATTTCACACTCAGTCGCACGGTTGCCTGTTTGGATGCTGTTCAGATTCCTTCGACCCTACCCTCTCTGACCTCGATGATATTGCCCATTCTGCGAGATGCTCCAGGTTCTATTGGATATGTGAACATTGGCTCGGAGAACTGATGCCTCCCTTCTCGGAATCCCCTCCTTGGCTGTCTGCTCTGCTCCCCACGTCCTTGCGTCCTCGCACGGTGCTACTCATTCCGGCTGCTATAATTGACGCTTTTATGTTTGCGCACAACTGTCGTCGTCGCCTTGTCTCTTCTGGCAGTGTGTCTCAGCAGATACATGCCCGCGCGCGGGCCACGGCGCGCAGGCGCAGGTCTGTTGCTGAAGCCTGGCGCGTTGAGAGACGGGTGCGTTTACTTTTCGAGGCCCCCACCTGAACCCTGTCTGTGCATCTCTCGGTGACGGGGGTGGGGCCCTGGACTTTTATCTACGGATGGTTTGGGCGTTCGATAGTGCCCTCTTCTCTCCAGAGACCTGGTGCGACTCCCGCGCCTGGGCTCCGACAGTTGGCGGGGGGGGGGGGCTCCGCGTGGGGGAACGCGGCTGTCTCGCGCCCTGCCTGTCGTCCGACAGGCAGACGCTCCGCGCGGACAGTGCCCCCCCCCCCCCCCTCGCCACGGTGACCTCGGACTGCTCGACCAAGGAGTCGACCGCCTTCAACTGGGACCCCCTGGAGCCCCCTGGGCCCTTTGGGTCAAAAAAAAAGAGTCACTCACAGACGAGGTTCACGCCTGATACTTCTTCCATATTCAGGCCTGAGGAGCCCAAAAGAAACGACAGTTACAGGATGCCGATGACCCGCCTCGGATTCAAACATGAAGTGCGGGCCCCTGAGGGAGTGGGCTCCCGCCTGAGACTTCCTCGCAATTCACTCACAGGCGAGGCTCCCGCCTGAGACATCCTTCATATTCAGACCTGAGGAGCCCAAAAGTGACGACGGTACAGGATTCCGATGACCTGCCTCGGATTCGAACATGAAATGTGGGCCCCTTAGGGAGGGGGCTCCCGCCTGAGACTTCCTCACACTTCACTCACAGACGAGGCTCCCGCCTGATATTTCCTCCATATTCAGGCCTGAGAAGCCCAGAAGTGATGACAGTTACAGGATTCCGATGGCCCGCCTCGGATTCGAACATGAAGCGCGGGCGCCTTAGGGAGGGGGCTTCCGCCTGAGACTTCTTCGCAATTCACTCACAGACGAGGCTCCCGCCTGATACTTCCCCCATATTCTTGCCTGAGTAGCCCAACAGTGACGACAGTTACAGGATGCCGATTGGCCCGCCTCATATTCAAACATGAAGTGCGGGCCCCTTAGGGAGGGAGCTCCCGCCTGAGACTTCCTCACACGTCAATCACAGGTCAGGCTCCCGCCTGATACTTCCTCCATATTCTTTCCTGAGTAGCCCAACAGTGACGACAGTTACAGGATGCCGATGGCCCGCCTCGGATTCAAACATGAAGTGCGGGCCCCTTAGGGAGGGGGCTCCCGCCTGAGACTTTCGCGCGACTCACTCACAGTCAAGGCTCCCGCCTGAGACATCCCCCAGATTCAGGCCTGAGGAGCCCAAAAGTGACGACATTTACAGGATGCCGATGGCCCGCCTCGGATTCGAACATGAATTGCGGGCCCTTTAGGGAGCTCCAGCCTGAGAATTCCTCACAAGTCACTCACAGACGAGGCCCCCGCCTGATACTTCTTCCATATTCAGGCCTGAGGAGCCCAAAAGTGACGGCATTTGCAGGATGCCGATGACCCGCCTCGGATTCGAACATGAAGTGCGGACCCCATAGGGAGGCTCCTGCCTGAGACTTCCTCGCAATTCACAAACGAAACTCCCGCCTGAAACATTCTCCATTGTCATGCCAGGGGGTGAGTGGTGACGAAATCATGAGTGAGTGAATGATGATGGTGAGTGAATGAATGAGTGAGTGAGTGAGTGAGTGATGATGATTATGGTGACGATGAGAAATGAGTGTGTGAGTGTGTGATTGAGTGAGTGCGAGTGTAAGAGTGTGTGATTGATGCAAAATAATAAGATGATGATGGCGATGATGACGATGATGATGATGCTGCTGCTGCTGCTGATGATGATGATGATGATGATGATGATGATGATGATGATGATGACGATGACTATGAGTGAGTGAAGGAGTGAGTGAGGGTGAGTGATGGCGAAGGAGAGAGGGGATGAGGGAGGACTGCGCGGGGCGTCCAGAGAAAACAAGAACCCCACTTAGGGCGTGGGGGAGAACAATTCGGAGGTCCGCGCGGATTTCTCGGATCCGAGCTGGGGCCCCCTGGCAGCGCTTCGGGCGCCGCCGTTGGCGCGCTCCGCGCGCCAGGGAGGGTGGTCCTCCGCGGATCCGAGAAATCCGCGCGGACCTTAGAGCTTTATGTTTATGCCACTTTTTGTCACCCTAATTTCGAACGCCCCTGCCACGTCTTCAAAGCCTGTCCTGTGGCACCCACACGTGCGTATTGTCGGGGTCGCTGCGTGGCTCCGCAGTGGCGGCGGTGCCACGCGTCGTGGCCCCCGAGGGATCTCCCCCTCCTTCATCCCACCCGCCTTGCGGTACGTACTCACATCTGCATATACCTGGGTTCCTTCGCCCGGCTAATACTATATGATGTTGTCTTTGCGCGAGGGGGGGGCGGCTAATTAGGGCTCCCTCTTCCAACAGGTGGGAGTGCAGCGTTCGATGTTTTTGTTGCGCGTCGTGTTCTGCAAATGGTGTGTTTGAGCCGAGCGAAGGCGATGGTTGCCATCGAGCACCCTGTTTGGAGCTCGACGACACCGCGAGGGCCTGGCGGGCGGGGGAGCCGCGGGCTCCTGAGCAGGGCGCTGGGCTCCCCGCTTTTAGGGAGTTGATCCCCGGGTATGGCCGAGGGTGTGGCGTTCGCTTGGGCCTTCCTCGAGCACGAACGGACTCTGGAGCGATGTCTGGAGGGCTGCTGCAGTTTCCAGCGGCTTCCGCGGTGTCCGTCACATGCCCGTTGCTTTTCTTCATGCACTGGGTGCACAGACCTTGGTCTGGCTTGACGCATCCTCACCCAGGTGCTGACATCAGCTCAGGTTTCGGCAGCTTTGTGCTCGGTTTCCGGACTCCCCCGCGGTTCCATTTGATTCCTGTTGCGCTTCGTCCCAGAATTTATATCAAATCATCTTCAGTATCTCGCAGATATCAGAGTCCGCGAAAGTTGCGCTACGTGCTTGGATGGATTCGGCAAGATGCTTCAGTGCTCTGTCCGTCGCCATCTGAGCTCAAGCCATTCTTCCTGGCTCAAAGGTTCGTCTGTCTTACATCGTCGCAGGCTCATTTGCTATTGAACCATGTTGCTGGCCATCTGGATGTCGATGGCATCCGCTGAAGCATTGTTCATTCATTCGCATGTCCACCCCCCCCCCCCCGACACAAGGCCACGTGCCGAGGTTGAAAGCGGGTCTTTGGAAGATGCAGCTTTCAATGAGCCGTGGACTCATGATAACCGCAGGACGGCTGTTGATGACTCAATGATTTATCGGATCAAATCTCGGGCTGAAGAGTCCGCTATAAGAGCAGGTTCTTCAAATCCTTTACCTCGCCTCACACCTTTGAGCGATGCTCACTTTAACGTCCCCTTCTTCGTGTACGACGAAGTTGATTGGATGTCCACAAAGTGCGACGGTATCACCATTTCCGGTCAAGAGAACGATTATCATAAACACAGCGATGATTTCTGGTTTTTGAAAGCTGCTTTGAACCATGGGATGCGAACGAAGGATCCTAAGAAAGCAAGGTTGTTTGTGGTTCCGGCATTGTTGAATCTTGCAGTGGAACAATCGGTTTGGAGTCGCAGGCAGTGTTGCGTTGGGGGATTGTGTAATTTGGATTTCTTCCAACACGCAAACGACATGCTCAATGAGTCGATCTGGTTTAAACGGAATGAGGGGAAGGACCACGTGGTCGTGTGCTCACATTATGCTTGCCTCAATCACCTTGTTCTGTTTGAGAACCTCGTGAAATGTAATTCTATTTCGTTCGAGGAGAATAGCATGCGGCAGGAACGCTGCCGAATAGCAGGCACATACGTTGGTCAGAGATGCGAGCACATGCCAAAACAATCAATGTTTACTTTGATCGCGTCCATGCATCGACGGCGACCTAACTTTCAATCAAGGAGAGATATATGCAAATGGTTCCCGCATCTTGTTTCAGTTAATCAAACCTACAACGTCTCAATCTGCGGCGCTGGAAGGCAGTGCCCATCCTTGGCGCAAGCTCGATTTAGCCCCCACGTTCGTGGCGACACTTGGGGATCCAGCCGCTTAATTGACATCGTGCTCAGCGGCGCAGTGCCGATGTTCACCAACACAATACAATATCAAATCCTGCCTCCATTTGTACCTTGGGAAAGCATCTCCACGCAAATCGATGTTTCCGACAGGCAGAGATTCGAATTATCAGTACAGAACAGCGTGCCGCTTTATGATGGATTGAAACAAAAAGTTGACAAACATGCACATCACCTTGATTGGGAGACGCCCGCTCCTTTTGAGCAGTACATGTGGCTTTTTCAGCAGTGCATTCGATGATCTTCTCGGATCGCCAGTCAACAACGAATGTTTGATCCGTTGTTTTGACACGGCGCTTCTTCCGAGCAAGTGCGTGCGTACGTAAGTGTGTAAACATATACATATAACGGGGGGTCCGGGGGCCGGGGGCTGGCGCCACGACCACAAATGTGGGGCCCGGGCGTCATTTGCCTTGTGTTTTTACAGGGTTTCGGCGACCCCGGGCCAACAGGGCCCCAAGAGGCTGCAGGGAGGCTCCAGGAGGCCGCAGCGATGGCCCCAGACGCCTTTCAAGACGACTCCCATGACGCCAAGAAGGCTCCCGAAGGCCCCGAAGACGCCCCGAGAGGCCCCCCGAGAGAGGCCCAATAAGCAAGAATCGTTGATTTCCCATTGGGAAGCTGCTATTTTTGGCGTGTTTGCCTTTCGGGCGTTCAAGACGGCCCAAGAGGCACCCAAGCCGGTCGAGGATGCCCCCAAGAGGGCCCCCCATTTCTCCTCCGCTGCTACCGTCGCGGATGCCATGCGTAATCCGGACATCGATGCCCCACAATCGCAGTGGATCTGCAGTGGGGATTGGGTTTAGTCCGAGCGTGGCCCGGGCGTGCGCGTTGGTCAAAGCACCACAGCAGAGGTGGCGCTGCCATTCCGGCTGACCAGCCTCGCCCGCCGCCTCGCATCTCCCTCTCTCCCTGTGCTGATGCCATGAGACCGCTTTTCCTTGTCCCCTGGCGAAGCCGGCGTGACCGAGGGGATGGAGGAGGGGGGGGCCACGTCACGATTCGCGCCGGCGCCGTCTGGAAATGTGCTGCGATGGCTAATTCGTACACGGCGCCAGCGCGAATCGTGACGTCACCAAGGGGGGGGGAGGGATGGTGGGCGCGGGGCCGGTCACGGACGTTATCGCGAACAACAAAAACGGGCTCCATCAAAACGACCATGGCCAGTCCATCGAAACCCAACACCTACATGCAAGGATGTTCTATAGTTGGCATCGTTTTCAATCCCAGCGTGGCTGGGGCGTCTGCACACGCATAGGTGTATGTATATGTTTGTGTATGTGTATGTGTTTATGTTTGTGTGTACGGATACGTGTATGCATTGGTATGTGTATATGTGCATGTATAGTGTATAGTAAATAACAGACATGTTTAGAGTACATATGGTGTATGATGTATTTGGATGTGTGTATGGAATATGTAAGTGTATATGTCTACAATATCACGTCTTAAACTGTTGGTGTACATATCTAACTTGTGTTGGTGTATGTTTTGTTGTTTTTGCATATTCAATTCATGTATGATTTGATGTATTTGTTTGTTTATGTCTTCATGTATTCATTCACATGGCATGTATTGAGTTGTCTACTTACGTACTCATGTCTGTAATTATTTACGCATGTGTTTACCAATGTACTTGTTGTGTGTTCATGCTAGCGGTTTATCGGTGTATCCGACTTTACTATATACATATGTATTATGCGTGTATATGTGTGTATATGTGTATGTATGTATGCCTGGATGGATGTATGTATGTATATATGTATGTATGTCGGTTTGTCTGTATGTATGTATGTATGTATGTATGTATGCATGTTTGTATGTATGTATGCCTGTAAGTATGTATATGTATGTATGTATGTATGTATGCATGTATGTATGTACGTATGTATGTATGTATGTAATGTAATGTAATGTAATGTAATGTAATGTAATGTAATGTAATGTAATGTAGTGTAATGTAATTAATGTATGTATGTATGTATGAGAGAGCGTGATCCACCGCCGCTTTACTGTGGAAAATTGCCAACCTTTTCCTCCGGAACCCGGGGGTCGCCCCCCCCCCCCTCCGAAAATCCCCCCCCCCTGCTGGAACCCCTCCCCCCCCCCCACCCCTTCCCCCGGCAAAACCCCCCCCCTCCCCTAACCCCCCCCCCCCCGCAAACCCCCCCCCCCGTCCCCTAACCCTCCCCCCCCCCCCCCCCCCTCGAAAACCGGGGGGGGTCACTACCGGTTCGAACCCCCCCCCCCCCCCCCCTCCGGATCCGGAAAACCGGGGGGGGTCACTACCGGTTCGAACCCCCCCCCCCCCCCCTCGAAAACCGAGGGGGATCACTACCGGTTCGAACCCCTCCCACCCCCCCACTCACCGCCAGCAAACGACTCCCGGTCCCTACCACCGTCCGCATCACATCCTCCACTGTTGTTCCCAGCACCACTGTCCTCACCACCACTGTCCCCACTGTGTCCCCACCAGTGCCCCCACCACTGTCGCACTGTCCCCACTGTCCCCACCACTGTTCCCACCACGGTTCCACTCTCCCCACTGTCTCCACGGCCCCAACCACTGCCCGACTATCCCCACTGTCCCCACTGTCCCACTGACTCCTCCGCTGTCCCACTGAGCTGTCCCACTGTTCCCACCACTGTCCCCACTGTCCCCACCACTGTCCCCACTGTACCTCTGTCCCATTGTCCCACCGCCGTCCTCGCCACCGCCTTCACCACTGTCCCCACCACCATTGTACCCTCCACTGTCCCACTGTTTCCACCTCATTCCCACTGTGCCCACACCACTGTCCCCACCACCACCGTCCCCACCACTGTCCACTGTCCCCCCTGTTCCCACCATTGTCCCCACCACTGTCCCCACCACTACCGGCCCTCTACTGTCCCACTGTCCCACTGTCCCCACCACTGTCCCGCTGTCCCCTCACCACTGTCCCACCAACACCGTCCCCACCTCTGTCCGCACCCCCACTCGGTTTTCGAGGGGGGGGGGGGGGGTTCGAACCGGTAGTGACCCCCCCCCCTTTTCATGATGAGCTGGGGGGGGGGGGAGGGGTTCGAACCGGTAGTGACCCCCCCCCGGTTTTCCGCCAGCAGCGGTAGAACACGCTCTTTCGTATGTATGTATGTATGTATGCATGCATGCATGCATGCATGCATGCATGCATGCACGTACGTACGTACGTACGTATGTATGTATGTATGTATGTATGTATGTATGTATGTATACATGTATGTATGTATGTATGTATGCATGGATGCATGTATGTATGTATGTATGTATGTACGTATGTATGTATGTACGTATGCATGTATGTATGTATGTATGTATGTATGTGTGTATGTATGTATGTATGTATGTATGTATGTGTATATGCATACATACATGCATGCATGTATGTATGCATGTATGTATGTTTGTATGTTCCGATATGTATATATATATATCTATCTATATATTTACGTATAGCTATACATATATCGATATACCTATCTATATATATATATATTTACATATATACCTACCTACCTACCTATCTATCTATATACCTATATATCAACATATATATATATATTTATATGTATATCGATCTATATATATATATCTATACATCTCTATATATATATATATATCTTTATATATCTATATATCTATATATCTATATATCTATATGTCTATCTATCTATCTATCTATCTATATATATATATCTATCTATATATCTATCTATCTATCTATCTATCTATATATCTATCTATCTATATATCTATCTATCTATCTATCTATCTATCTATCTATCTATCTATATATCTATCTATCTATACAGGCCCGCGGCCCCCAAACATGTGCCCCCATTGGGGGACTCGGGGTTCCAGGGGTTCTGCTGGGGCGCCGGGGGCGCCCTAAGGTCGCCCGGAGACGGCCCCCGGATCGCCAAACATAGCGCTTCCAGACCGCAGGAACGACCAATGGCGGCCAAGACGGCCAAGGCGGCCAGAATTAGCCCCTGACTATCCAAGAGGCCTCCAAGACGCCCCCAGAAACCTTCAAGATGCCTCCAAAGGAGCCCCGGGCGGCATAACTTATCGCTTACCCAAAGGTTTTTGAAGGATTTCCATGTTCTCGCCTTTGCAGTTTTCCGACGCTCTACAACGGCCCAAGAGGTCATATTGTCCGCTCCAAGACAGCCCCAGAGGCCTCGAAGATGGCCCCCAAACGGCCCAAGAGGGCCCCAAGACGGCGCCAGAGGCGCACAGGACGGCCCGAGAGAGCCCTATGGAGCTCCACCCAAGGCCCCAGTGGGGGTGCCCGCATGCGTCCGCCACACCCAGTACAGCGTCTCGTGGCCCCCTAGTGAGCTCCACCGAAGGCCTCAATTGCGCAGCCCGCGTGCGTCTCACCCACTGAGTACAGCGCTTCGTGGCCCCCTAGGGAGCTCCGACGAAGGTCCCAGTGGCGCAGCCCGCATGCGTCTCCCCCACCCAGAACAGCGCTTCGTGGCCCCATAGGGAGCTCCACCGAAGGTCTCAATAGTGCGGCCCGCATGTGTCTCACCCACCGAGTACAGCGCCTCTTGGCCCCATAGGGAGCTCCGACGATGGTCCCAGTGGCGCAGCCCGCATGCGTCTCCCCCACCCAGAATAGCGTTTCGTGGACCGAAGTCTCAATTGTGCAGCCAGCATGCGTTTTCCCCACAAAGTGCAACGTTTCGTGGCCCTAGAAGGGGGGGGCTCCACCGAAGGTTCCAGTGGTGTAGTCCGCATGCGTCTCCCCCACCCGATACAGCGTTTCGTGGCCCTACAAGAGGGCTCCACCGAGGACGATGCCTACAACTGCAGTGTTCACAACTACATATGGTTGGGTCCTTCGCCAGGCCAATTCAAATTTACCCCCAGTTTATTTTTGCACATCAGACCATCATTAAGGCCCCCGTCACCATCGAAGAAAGATCCCAGGAAGCCTTCGAGGGCCCCAAATCATCGAGCACCTGAAGGAAGTCGATGATTTTGTGGTTTCCGCATTTCTCCTTCTATACGCTTCCGAGGCTTGCGCAGGGACTCCAAGAAGGTCGTTAGATGCACAAGGCGCTTCAATAATTGAGATTCCATGCTTTAGCCTGTCGGGCCTAGCTAGCTATATATGTATCACCCCCCGGGCAGGCCTGGCCCCAGCCCCCTGGCACAATTCTGCCCCGATCTGGTGTCCATTCTAGACAAACAACACATCCCCGGGG